CCTTTCAGAGTCATCTTCTGTTTGCTTTAAATATAGTGTCCAGGGTATTTAATTGTACTTAGCCGAAGAAGGAGGAAAGGCATCTGTGCTTCATCTTCCCAGAAACAGAAATCTCAGTAGGTTTTAAAAGCTCCCCAGGCAGCCAACGTTGAGAACACTGGTGTAGGCTGCAAGCTCCATGAGGGCAGGGATCGTGTCTGTCCTCCTCCTATCAGAACACCTGTAACTGACAAAGAGCATCTCTCAATAAAGATTTTTTGGATGGATGGAATGGACTGATGGAAGGAAGGGAGAACGAATGGATAGATCGGTGAATGAAGGAGTCCATGGAGAGCAGAACAGAACCAGCAGCCAGGCTGATTCACACTCACCCATGTCCCCATGCATCCGTCACACTTAGGTCCCTACACATACATTGACACTCACCCAGACCCCGGTTTAGAGACGTCTGGCCTCAGAACCAGTGGGAGGGCTTGACCAGCAGGTGGCGCAGCGGAGCCCCAGGTGTGGCCGGGGCACAGCCAGCCACAGCGTCACTTGACTGAAGGATTCGGAGACATTAAAGAAACTCCTAATTACCTAGGAGCTCCCTCTTGTAAACATCGCATCTACCTCTCCTTTCTCTTCTGCCAGCTCTTTTATTTACCTCAATATCATAAATAATTTTTTTTTCCTCAGGAAGAGAATGGCCTGGATAACTTTAGTCTTTGAAAATTCCTTTCTTAAGGCTTAATCTCCAGGAATTTGGAACCAAAAGAAAATAGTATTCATCGTATCCCGAAATGATACGTGTGTGCGCTGGGCCTCGTGTTGTGTGCACTGTCCTTGTCTACTGTTAGCACGGATGTTTGTGCTTCCAATTCCGTGAAACCTTTATTTGAAGTCTTTATTGACTTACCTGTTTCTCACCATAGGGAGAAGGGGGGCAGGGAGGGTGGGAGGGGGAGGGCTCTGAAGCTCATTCAAATGTCTTAGAAGGTGGGGGTCACTTGGGCCTTTAAGAAACTTGCTCTTCAGTGGCCCTTGGATCTTAGTGCAGCACACGAAGCCCTCTTTGTTCCAGAAGCCTCTGTTTCCACCTCTTTAAAATGAGGGCAAAAAGGGTTCCTTTATTGTGAAGTCGGCATCACTGTGAGGATTAAATGAGGCAGCACCGGCCACCTCCCAGCCCGATGCTGGTTCGTAGAAAGTCTTTGAAATGCTGCTTTTCTTTTCCTTCATTGCTTTTCAAGGCCCGAGCGTGAGAGGTCATGGAACGGGGCTTTTTATATTTCTTTTCGTTGCCATTTAGTGATAATTATCCTTCAGCTTCCCTTTTCTGTGCCTAATTTTTAAAATCCCAGCCTGTCACACCAGGGGTAGGAGATAGAAGAAGCAGACAAACAATCAAACGAGTCCAACCTCCCAAACTCGTAAGGCAAATTATAAAGTGAAAGAAGATGGTAGAGGTGCAGGAGGAGAGGGTTATGTGGCTAAGTCATTTCTGTACTTCCGCTTCTGATAAATAACTAAGAATTTGTGTGTAACATCTCACTGTGCCCCTTTTACAAGAAACCATGAGATACATTTTATCTAAAACTTAGTACCAGCTAGAGTTGTCCTTCTGCTAAGCAACTAAGTGACACTAGACTCTTGTAATTGATCCTGTTTCCCTCTTTGCTCTGGCTCCTGGGAAACTCAGAGTGAAGTTTGTGGCCCAACACGAGTGGCTGTTTGGGACTCACCCTAGTTTCATCCTTGTTTGTCTAACACTTCTTTATTTTTATTTTTTTAATCCTAGTGCCTGGTAGGTATTTTGGGGAGCAACACTGGTATATACAGAAGTAGGTTTTGAAAACAGAGAGATCTGGAAACCCAGGCAGCCTCTTTCTTAGGCCATGGAATTCTTTTCTAAAAAACTTTATTGAGGTATAATTTACATACCATGAAATTCACCCATTTTAAGTGAATCATGCAATTCAATTATTGTTAGCAAATTTACAGAGTTGTACAATCATTGTCAGAATCCAATTTTAGAACATTGTCATCACTCCCAAAAGACCCTTTCCCATCCCCACCCCCAGGCCCAGACAGCCACCAATCTGTCTTCTGTTTGTGTGGAGTTGTCTATTCTGGACATTTCATATGAATGGAATCAGACAATGTGTTGCCTTTTGTGTCTGGCTTCTTTCACTTAGCGTGATTCATGTTATAGCAGATGTTGGTACTTTCTTACTGACAAATAATATTCGATTGCCTGGATATCCCATATTTTGATTATCCACTCACCAGTTGATGAACATTGGGTTGTTTCCTCTTTTTGGCTATTATGAATAATGCTGTGAACATTCACATACCAATTTCGTGTGGACATATATTTTCAGTTCTCTTGAACTATATATCTAGATGTGAAATCTCTGAGTCATGTGGTAACTATGTTTAATTGTTTGAGGAACTGCCAGACTTTTCCACCATGGCTGCACCATTTTGCATTCCCGCCAGCAGTATATGAGGGTTCTCATTTCTCCACATCCTCTTCAACACTTATTATTATCTCTCTTTTTAAATTATGCTCATCCTAGTGGGTGTGAAGTGGTACCTCCTTGTCATTTGGATTGCATTTCCCTGATGACTAATGATGTTGAGCATCTTTTCATGAGCTTAGGAGCCATTCCTGTATCTTCTTTAGTGAAATGTCTATTCAAATTCTTTGTTCATTTTTAAATTGGATTCTTTGTCCTCTCCTTATTGAGTTGGAAGCGTTCTTCATCTATTCTGGATACATTAGATATATGGTGTATCAGATATATCATATAGAGATATTTTTCCCATTCCATAGCTCTTCACTTTCTCAGTGGTGCCTTTTGAAGCTCAAAAGGTTTTTAATTTTGAAGTCCAATTTAGCAATTTTTTTCCTTTCTTGGCTGTGCCTTTGGTGTCATATCTAAGAAATCTTTGCCTAACTCAAGGTCACAAAGCTTTTTTTGTATGATTTCTTCTAAGAGTTTTAAGAGGTTTAGCTCTTACATTCAGTACCATTGTCACCTGTGAGTTAATTTTTGTGTATGGTGTGAGAGAAAGGTCTAAATCCATCTTTTTTGCACATGGACATCAGCTGTTGCAGCGTGTAAATCATCACATTTGTCTGCTGCCTCCCCCTCTTCCTTCCTCCACTTCGGCATGCCTGGAGATGAGCAACGCTGCCCCTCGGTGGCTTCTTCAGCCCCCACCTTCCCATCACTTCAGTTCAGGAGACCAACAGACTGTCTTGAAAGCACAACCCCAGCTCCAGCTTTCCAGAAGAGAGAATTGGGCTGATGGGCCCATTTGGGGGCGGATGACGACCTCTGGTCCAGTCACAGGTGCCCCGGGGTGGGCGTTACACAGTTTAACTATGGCTGCCAGGGCCCACCCCTAGGTGGATGCTGTGTCTCAGAGAAAGAGGCTTGTTGTGAGCTGGGCAAATACTCTAAAAGTCGTCCGCTCTGGGGTCGTTACCTCATCTTCCGTACTCTGGATCCCCCTGTGAACTAGCTTGACATTTGCAGCTCAGGGCTCACAGGTCATGTCCCCAAAATTGGTTCTGCTTGACCTGTGTTCAAGTGTTCAAGAAAACAAATGAAACAGTTGAATAATTAACAACATTTAAAAACTAAAAGATTTCATGTAAAAATCCAGTTTTTGTGGTTCATTTAAAAAATAGGCAGATCTGGACTTGCAGCAGTTGGTGGCATCTGAGTGGCAGCTGTCCTCTTTGGACAGAGAATATACTTGTCAGCTTGCCCCAGTCCCCATCACACCTTGTTCTACACACGGCCCCCTGTTCTTATTAATTTTTCCTCTCTGACTCTGTAGACTTTGGAATGTGTACCTCCACCCCCAGAAGAAGCTTCGGGGCCACTGTCTGCCCACAAGGTCCCCTACCCAGAGGCTGACTGTTAACCCAGCCCTGCCCTAGATTCTAAGTCAGCCACATTCCTACAGTACTGCACTCATAATGGGATTTTGCTATTTGCAATCTGCTCTCTGCACCGCTGCCAATGGCACTGATAAACCTGGATGTTTTATGGAAATTATGCCCTGGCCAGACTCAATGACAATACACAATCCTTGGGGCACCCTTATGCATGGCGCCTCTTTCTTCGGAATTAGAGCAAAGACATCAATGTTCTGACTTACTTGACGGGAATAACCATCCAATACAAATGAGGCAGACGGTGGAGCAGTTTGGAACGGGGAGTGGTGGGAGAGGCAGTTCAGAATATAGCAAGAAAGAAATCCCAAACTTTCACTTTTTACTGTAGAAAATAAAAGGTGTGCCAAGAATGTGGAAGACATTTCTTTTTTAAACATTTTTTTGATGGAATAAGTCTGTTTTATTTTGTTTTTTAAAATGAGTGCAGCTAGTTCTTGTTTTGCCTATTATAAAACTAAGGCATTCTCATTGTTGAAATTTTGGGAAATACAAAAGATAAATCTTTATCTTTCTTGATCATCATCCACTACCCAGAGGAAACCACTGTTAATATAAGATAATAGAAATTCACTCTCGCTCTAAGCCTGTTAACAGAATTGACATCATCCTGTACAAACAATGTCTGTTGTAAATTTAATTTCCTGATAAACATTTTCTCATATCATTACTGGCACTCCATAAATGTGATTATCGATGACTGCATGATATTCTCTTCTGTAGCTATCCCATAAAACATTTAGTTCCCAAATGTTAGACTATTTCCTTTTATTTCCTATTGTATATAAATGTTGCAGTAAGCATCTTTGTATGTAAATCTTTATTCATGTTTTGGATTACCATGAAAGAAATGTCTAACAATAAAGTTTCCAGGAAAAAGTAGAAAAGTTAGCTGAAATGTATCAATATTCATCAATAGAATAAGTCTTTTCTCAAATTTCTGTTGGTTTAAACATCTTTTTGAAAAATATGCCCACACCTTCTGCATTTAGGTCCCTCTTGCTGTGTGTTCTGCTGTTCTTTATCCATGTGTGTCTCATTTTTTCAGAGGTCATCCAGTAAACTTCTGTTAAGCATCTATCGTGCGCCAGCCTGGTCCCAGCACAGGAGAATGGCAGCGAGTGTAAAGGTGTGGGCCCTGCCGTCAAGGTGGTCACGGGCGTCGCACTTCAGAAACAGAAATTGTGGACACACGCCATGCCTTAGAGGTGCTCCCTGGTTAGTTGGGGAGAATCAGCCAAACAAGAATGCTAAGATAAGTGATGGCAAGGGGAGTGTTAGAAGTGTTGTGGGCACACAGAAGGAGGAGCAGCGAAGAGCTTCAAGACAAAAGGGTGCTCTGGGCAGAGGAAACAGCGCAGGCCAAGGCATAGAGGTATGAACGAGCCGTGTTACATCTTGGCCCCAACGTGCCTTTCCAGACTTGTCATTCTGCGCTCCAGTTACTTCCAGTGATTCCCTCCCAATTCTTCGAACGCAGCTCTGTGCTTTTATTCTTTCTTTTACTCATCCTTAAATTCCTCTCCCTTCCTCCCAGTCAACTTCTACTCATCCTTCAAGGCCCAACTCACACGTCGAGGCTTCTCTGATGTCCTTTCTGACATCCGCACTCTACCCTGGGAGCGGCTGTTCCTCCCTCCTCTCTCCTGCCACCTGCTTTGAGCTTACCTCAATCATCACACTCGTCCCAGCTGTACAGAATTTTTAATTCAATTTTTTAATCCTCTTTGTTTATCTTTTGTTTTCTTCTCATTCTAATTGACAAACTCCTTGAAGTCAGGGGCAGTGTATCAGTTAGGATTCAGTTTGGCTATGTGTGATAAAAAACCTAAGCTAACCCGGAGGTGGAGAGTCCTGGCTGGTATGGCAGCTGCATGGTCATCAGAGACCTCAATTCCTGCCAGGTTGCTGCTTTACCTTCCTCATTTTGTGGCTTCCTCTTGGTGCCAAGACTGTTGCTTAAACTCTATACATCCTATCAACATTCCAGCTACCCAGAAGAAAGAAGGGCCAAAGAAAAGAACACATCCTCCCTTTAGGGCTGCTTTCTGGAAGTTGCAAATTACATTTTCATTGGAACTTAGTCACATGATGACATAGTCACCAGCTACCAGGGAGCCTAGGAAATGTAGTCTCTATTCCAGGCAGCCGTGTACTCAGCTAAAAAGCAGAAGTCTGTTGCAAAATAGAGGAGAACTGATATTGGAAGACAATTAGCAATTTCTGCCACAGTGGAAAACAAGGAGAGGTCAAGGATGATTGCTCTGATCCAGCCTGGGCTGGCTGTGGGATCATGGCGTCACTCACCAAGAAATGGAAGAAAATAATAGCTGCTGGTAATTGAACACTTCCTGTATGTCAGGCACTGTATGAGATGCTTTGTCCACATTTCAAAGGTGAGTGAAACTGAGACTTGGTGAGGTGAGAGATCTCGCCCAGCTAATAAGGCAGAAACAGGGTTAGAGCACAGTTTACTGCTTTACAAAGCCCGGGTTCTTAACTGCTGTTCTATTTTGCCAGCCAAATAAGCTCCAAGCCTCCTGTGGACCAGCGTTGCTGAAATGGGAGGGAGAGTGGAGAGGGTGAGGCCACTGAGAGCAGCATTTGGTATATAGCATCTCTCCAAACCCTCCAGTTCCTCTTGCCTCCCCTCCCTGGCTGTCAGCAGAGATCCCTGCCCATTGGTGTCTGTTATCTAAAACCAGTGTCTGCAAGTTTTTCTTAGGTAAATAATTGTCATTGGGAAAGCAGGAGTATTTCTAATTTGGAATCAGATCCAGGCCACCTCTTGTTGCGTACCTCCCATGACAGGGAGCTTACTATCTCTCCAGGTAATTCATTGCATTGTTAGATAACATCTATTTTTAGAAAGTTCTTCCTTACCTTGAGCTGAAAGCTGCATTCTTTGGCAGTTCAGGTGCATATTCTTCAGTTAGATCAGTGGTTCTCAACTAAGGATCATCTTGACCCCACTGGCAATGTATAGAGATATTTTTGGTTGTCCCTGGGAATGCGGGGAGGGTGGTACTGGCATCCAGTGAGTAGAGGCCAGGGATGCTGCTAAACATCCAACAATGTACAGGACAGCCCTTTGCAACAAAGAATTATCCAGCTCAGAACGTCAATAGGACAAAGGCTGAGAAACTCTGAGTTAGATAGACCTAGGTTTGATTCTTGGCTTCACCATCTGCTTCCTAGCCGTGTGACCTGGGGTAAGTTGCTTCCCCCTTCTGAGCCTGAGCTGACTGCTTCTTCATTTCTACCTGGGGGATCATTGGAAGACCTCCCTGTGGGCTTGTGGTGGGCATTTAATAAGGGATACAGCTTTCCCCCCGCTATCTGAAAGTTCTTTATATGCCACTTCGCTTTTATGAAAGACCTATGTTAGTACCTGTTTTCGCTAACCAAAAGAAATCTGAAGAAGATTTTCATTTTTACGGGAAAAGCGAAAACAATGTGCAGCATCAGTCTTGCAGTGAGCTGTTGTAGGAACCGGCGCGCGCATGGGCGGCTCCGCATCAGGCCGCCAGCTCCGAGCCGTGGGAGCATCTGGGCTTTATCTCCATTTATTGTGATGAGTTATTTTTTGGGTGGGGGAAGGCTAAACTATTTTTCCCATATAAATTACCGGTAATTGCTTGTTCGCTTGACGCCGTTTGGGGCTTCCGAGAAGTTTCGGAGGAACACAGCGCTTCTGGAGAGCAGGGCCTCCCATGGAGGAAGAGCCCAGGGCTCGGCTCAGTCCTGTTGTGGCTGCTCCTGTCACCGTCCTAGGATGTGCAGGAACCTGACTTTGTCTGTTCATTTGCTGGCACAGGACCTGACTGGATTAGATGATTGTCTCTCTAGGAAAAGTCCCGCTGCAGCTAATGGTTTTGGAATGGAGCCATTGCCTTAATTCAAAAATGATGGCTTGCTCTACACGAGGCTCTTAAAGAAAAAGGGTCCACTTCTGCTTGTTACCAAGTCCCCCAGGGTTAGCAGAGCTTTTGTACCCCTGTCTCAGCTGGTCCTCCCCACAGCCCGGGAGGGAGGTAATAATATTTTCCCTACTTTACAGGTGGGGTAATTGGAGTCCTGGCTGTTTACCCAAGCTCCACCCAGCCCAGCAAGCAAGAGCCCTGGTGAGACCTCTCTTCCTGCGTCCCCGCTTCTCTAGGGACCCAGTGCTGTAAAGAACCTGCCTTTCTTCCCGGGATGCCCTGTCCCAAGGTCCGCTGGCTGCTAGCTTCCATTCTCCCCAGAGCACACTGTCTCCTCAGCACCATCTCTGTTGGCTTGGCCTTGACCCTAGAGAGCCCCGTGGGGCTGAGTAGCCTGGGGGGCATGACCTCCCGCATAACGTGAGGTGAAGGGAGGATCCGTGTCCCCAGATACCTCCCACACTCTGCCAGTGCGCCTGACTTTCCTTTGGCATTTAAAGAGGGAAAACCATTCATGGATCTGTTTTTCAAAACGCAGATCCCGAGGGAGGAGAAAGGGCCTCACATGAGTTATCATCGCACTGAGCAGGGCCTGCGGAGAGATTGGGTGAGACGCAGAGGGACCAGGGCCGGCATCCTGAGCCACCTGGGCTCTGTGCTCAGGAGGGCCCTGCACTTGGCTTAGTGTTCTGCTGTCACCATCTCGAAATTCGTAATAACTTAACATTTTTTCCTTTTGCTCTGGGCCCCACAAATTATGCTGCTGGTCCTGAGTGGGGCGTGAAGGAGATGCTTTGGTGGCGGCTACTGCTGCCTCTTGGCCGTCCTCCCCCATGTGGCCTGCTTCTTGCGGGCTCAGGGCCGGGTCACAGCTCTCCCTCAGGCCTCCTTCCAGGAGGCAGGTGCCAGGGGCCATGTGCATGCAGCACAGGTGCTGGTGCCTTTCCCAGGATGCTTCTTCTGAATCCTGTGGCTTCTGAGGACAAAAGTGGATTTTCTTGCTCCCAACACAGATCACTGAGCTGAAAAGGAAGGTTTCACCAGTAAATATGAGTTGAATGAGTAAGTTCTGAGCTGAGATTCTTCAGAACACCCTCACTTGTGTCTCACTCATTCATTTGACAAATATTCTGTGGACCTTTTGCTTTTATCTTTACACAAAATAACATGTTCAAGCTATGAAGGAGAAAATGTGATAAAGAACCGAGCTTACGGCGATAGGCACGGAAGGTAAACTTAGGCTATAGTAATTTTCACCAACATTTTCTTACGGAAACTATCAATGAAATAGGAAAGTTGGAAGCATTGTACGGTCAATACCCATATGCCCACCGTCTAGGTTGTAAATTAATGTTTTGCTCTTTTTGCTTTACTGTATCTCAATTCATTTATCCGTTCTTCTATCCAACTTATTTTTTGATTCATTTCAAAGTAAGTTGCAGACATCAGTAGATTTCACCTCTAAACACTTAATATGGGAAACTAATTTTCAGTTCAGTGGCCTCAATTCAATCAGAACAGCTTTTCTTTTTTAACCACAAAGGAAAAATATATAGATTTTTATATAAAGACAAATAATTTGCTGTCAACTGTAATTGTGGAATGATAAATAGTATATTCACAATGAAAACAAAATTATTGATCCCCATCTGTAAGCAATGAGGCAAAGAGACAAAGGAGAAAAGAGAGAGATTTCCTCAAAGGCAGTGGGGAAAAGAGAGAAACGAGACACTTCTATAGGAGAGAGAGACTGGCACTGCCTTGAGAATGCCAAGCTACGGGTGTGTTTTAGGGAACTGCTTCCTCCCAACCAAAACAATAAAAAATAAGAATCCCTGAGATGATACTGCCTTAGCTTTCTTTCCTCCTTCTTGATGTAACTGCGGAAATTCCAGGGGGTTTGGGCTTTTCAGGGCTGAAGGTGACACTGCAAGTTGTGGGGTATTGGATGTAGGATTGGAGGAAGAGACAGGCTGAAGCTGTCGGTTTGGGGGTTGTCCTCACAGAGGTGATGGCTGAGGTGGATGGTGGGGAGTGGATCAGGCCCCTGAGGCTGACAGCAGAGAGCGACGGGAGCAGAAGGCAGGACTGGGTCACCAGAGGAGAAGTCAGAGGGCTGCTCTGACTGTGGCAGTTCAAAGCTGGAGGAGAACATGGAAAAAAACACCTAAAACAAGACTTTAAAAAAAAGAGATCTAGGGGCCAGCCCGGTGGCGCAGTGGTTAAGTTCGCATGTTCTGCTTCGGTGGCCCGGGGTTCGCTGGTTCAGATCCCGGGTGCGGACTTGGCAAGCCATGCTGTGGTAGCCATCCCACATAGAGGAAGATGGGCATATATGTTAGCTCAGGGCCAGTCTTCCTCAGCAAAAAGAGGAGGATTGGCAGCAGTTAGCTCAGGGCTAATCTTCCTCAAAAAAAAAGAGACCTGGAAAAGCCTTAGAGACCTCCTACCCCATCTTTCAACTTTGACCCAAGAGAAAACGCAAGGTGGAAAGATCACTCAGAAAATTAGTGGCAGAGCTGGGGCAAAATCAGTGCTACCCAAGTGGTGCGTTTTCAACAAACTAACTCAAGGGCTTCCTTCTGCAAGGACCAGGTGCCTTGGGGTCTTGATTTTTATCTCAAAAAAATCATATGAATTTGGCCTTCTAGTTAAGAATTTATCTGGCTTTGTCTTAATGTAAAAATACACTTACTAAATTATGAGAGAGAGTTACACTCTCTGTTAGTGTTTCTCAGTTTTCTTTAAATTCATACCACTTTTTGATGACTATCAAAATCTGACAACCCCTTCTGGAAGCTTTAATACCTACTTCTACCTCCCATCCCAGCTGAGATCACCAATAGCAGGATACAGCCTCTTTTCAGTATAAGCTCGCTAGCAAAGAAGGTTTTGTTACAGATTACTTTGCATAGTTTATGTAATGAAAAAAATTCTTTTTAAATATTAAAGTGAAATAATCAATAAAAAGCAAGCCCTGTAGCGTAGTGGTTAAGATCAGCGCACTCTACTTTGGTGGCCTGGGTTTGCGAGTTTGGATCCTGGGCATGGACGTACACCACTCATCAGCCATGCTGTGGCAGTGACCCACATCGAAAGTAGAGGAAGACTGGCACAGATGTTAGCTTAGGGCTAATCTTCTTCAAGCAAAAAAGGAAGAAGATTTGCAACAGATGTTAGCTCAGGGAGAATCTTCCTCAGGAAAAAAAATAAATAAATATGTTTTCTCAAATAACACAACCCCCTTCCCATTTGAAAAACATTCATCTAAGCGATATACTAGATTTATTTCATGCTTTGTGCACCCTTGTAACCTCCCACATGTCAGTTAGGGGTGGTTGCAGCTGTGAGAAAAAAACTCCCACAACAGTGACTTCAGCAAAGAAAATGTTTAATTATTTCCCATAATAACCAGTCTGCAGGAAGAAGATTCCCAGGTCGGTTCAGCAGCTCAGTGATAACAGGGCTGGCTCAAGGTTGGCGTCTCAGTGGTTTTCTTGGCATTTCCCTGATGGCCCCAAGATGACTGCCATAGCCCCAAGCATCACTTCCTGTCAGGAAGAAGGGGGCAAGTGGGAAACAATGCTTTTCCTTTTTTTGCTCATTTGTTATAGAGAAAGAACTTTCCGAACCACACCTTGGCCATGAGACTTCCCCATCTACTTTCTTGGCCACAGTCGTGTCTCCTGCCCACTCCTGGGCGAGCCAGTGGCAGGGAAGAGCAAGAGCACGAAGTTCATCTTGGAGCAATCATGATGCAGCCACCTTCCCAGAATACATGCAACATGGGGCTTAGACAAACTTTACCTTGTTTTTGCCCATTTCCCTCACGAGAATGTAAGCTCTATGGTGGCAGAGATGTTGTCTGTTTTGTTCACTGCTCTATTCCTAACACATTCCTAGAACAATGCCAGGAATTCAATAAATAGCCATTGAATGAATGACTAAGAAAGAAGGGAACACGGGCTGTAGGAAACCAGGAGTGTCTACCGCCCCTGACAGATACAGCCCCAGTTTGATCAATGTGATGGTGCCTTTTTTTAAAGATTGGCACCTGAGCTAACAACCGTTGCCAATCTTTTTTGGTTTTTTTAATTCTTCTCCCCAAAGCCCCCCAGTACATAGTTGTATATTTTTAGCTGTGGGTCCTTCTAGTTGTGGCATGTGGGATGCCGCCTCAGCATGGCCTGATGAGCGGTGCAATGTCCACGCTCAGGATCCGAACAAGGGATACCCTGGGCCACCAAAGCAGAGCATGCGAACTTAACCACTTGGTCACAGGGCCAGCCCCCAGTGTGATAGTTCTAAGTGACGCTAGTGATCACCAAGGCTCTGACCTTAATCCTTGTGTCTTTCCTCCCAGGGAATGAGCCATAGCCGTAGGCTGCTCTTGTGCCAATGACCTGTCTCAATTCCTCCTCCGACTTAGAAGACAAGATGTGTGAGGGGAACAAGACCACCATAGCCAGTCCCCAACTGATGCCCCTGGTGGTAGTCCTGAGCACCATCTCCTTGGTCACAGTGGCGCTCAACCTGCTGGTCCTGTATGCTGTGCGGAGCGAGCGGAAGCTACACACTGTGGGGAACCTGTACATCGTCAGCCTCTCGGTGGCAGACCTGATTGTGGGAGCTGTTGTCATGCCCATGAACATCCTCTACCTCTTCACGTCCAAGTGGCCCCTGGGCCGGCCTCTCTGCCTCTTTTGGCTTTCCATGGACTACGTGGCCAGCACAGCATCCATTTTCAGTGTCTTCATCTTGTGCATTGATCGCTATCGCTCGGTCCAGCAGCCCCTCAGATACTTGAGGTATCGTACCAAGACCCGAGCATCAGCCACCATCTTGGGGGCCTGGTTTCTGTCCTTCCTGTGGGTTATTCCCATTTGGGGCTGGCATCACTTCGTGTCACAGACCTGGAATCGCCAGGAGGACAAGTGTGAGACAGACTTCTATGATGTCACCTGGTTCAAGATCATGACCGCCATCATCAACTTCTACCTGCCCACCTTGCTCATGCTATGGTTCTACACCAAGATCTACAAGGCTGTACGGCAGCACTGTCAGCACCGAGATCTCATCAACGGATCCCTCCCTTCCTTCTCTGACGTTAAGCTGAAGCCAGAGAATCCCAAGGTGGATGCTAAGAAATCAGAGGAGTCTCCCTGGGAGGTTCTGAAAAGGAAGCCAAAAGATGCTGGTGGTGGATCTGTCTTGAAGCTACCATCTGAAGACCCAAAGGAGATGAAGTCCCCAGCTGTTTTCAGCCAAGAGGAGGTTGGAGAAGTAGACAACCTCCACTGCTTCCCACTTAACACTGTGCAGATGCACACTGAGGCAGAGGGGAATGACAGGGGCTACGTAGCCATCAACCAGAGCCAGAGCCAGCTTGAGATGGGTGAGCAGGGCCTGAACATGCGTGAGGCCAACGAGATGCCAGAGGATCAGATCCTGGGTGACAGCCCATCCTTCTCCCAGACAGACTTAGACACCCCCCCAGAGCCAGCATCTGGGAAAGGCAAACCGAGAGGTGGGTCTAACACAGGCCTGGATTACATCAGGTTCACTTGGAAGAGGCTCCGCTCACATTCGAGACAGTGCGTGTCTGGGTTGCACATGAACCGAGAACGGAAGGCTGCCAAACAATTGGGGTTTATCATGGCAGCCTTCATCCTTTGCTGGATTCCTTACTTCATCTTCTTCATGGTTATTGCCTTCTGTAAGAGCTGTTGCAATGAGCATGTACACATGTTCACCATCTGGCTGGGCTACATTAACTCCACACTGAATCCCCTCATTTACCCTTTGTGCAATGAGAACTTCAAGAAGACGTTCAAGAAAATCCTGCACATTCGCTCCTAAGGGAGACTAGAAGGGGATGCAACAAAGTGACATTTAGGATGTCCCTGAAGGAAATGGAGGATGAAGGCCTGTGAGCTGCCAGGTACCTGGGCTTTCTGGAGTCAAAAGAATAGTCTTAAGGGCTGGGTAATTTGGAAAGTTCTCAGGCACCATTGGAAGAACAGCATATGGCGGTGGTCAGTGGAGAGATTGTACTCTGAGTAGAAAGTTGAATATTTCCAAGAGAATCAAATCTGGATAATTTTTCCTGCTCTGCAGGAAGTGTGGGAGCCTCAGACTCTCATTGTAATTCAAGCTTTCAGGCTTGAATTAATTGGCAACCAAAGGGACATGTGGGTAGAGTTCCACTGGAAAATTAGATGGAACTCTGGAGCCTTCCTGGAATGGCGCTGTATGACTGTGCAGAGACCTTGCACATGCAGATAGATGCTGGCCTGTCTCATGGGTCACCTTGAGAGGCATGACAGCTGTTCCACTGTGACTGCCACTTCTCAGAACATCTCTCTTCCGAGCCTCTTTTATAGCTTTCTCCAGAACCAGTGTCTGGAACACCCTGGAAATTCTGCCTTATTACTTCTCACTCACGCATGTCTTAGAGTTGATAGGAAATTATGCAGCTTGTACATCCATTGTTTTCAACTCCAAATTCCTTTTGGCTATTAAAAAAATAACGATAAAAACTGCTCTCAAAAGAAACAGAAAAGGAATGTTCTTAATGGTTGCACATTAAAAACAAAAAAAGAAAAAGGGGAGGAGAAAGCTATATTTCCTGAGGGCTGTGCCAGGTTTATGTCACTTAAGCCCCATGACACCCCACAAGAGGAGGGTGGTATTGCTAAAGGAGCAAATTGAGGCACAGAAAGGTGAAATAAAGTGCCCAAGATCAAATAGCTAGTTATGTGAGGAAGCTACAGTGAAAACCCTGTGGGGTTCCAGATCATTGTGACACATTTTCTCCAAAAGGCAAAAGTTTTCCTGTTAAGTACACACACACACACACAAACACACAACATTGCCAAGAGTGGTGACATTTTCTCAAAACAATATGTTGAGAGCAGCAACAGCTGACATAGAACATGTCTGTGGCCTCAGAAGGTGATACTTTGAAAGGGACGGTGTGCATTTTTATCTGTGAGTTCTGCTGTGTTTGTTGAAAAGTCGTGTTCTTTTATAGTCACACCTCTTATGTAAAAACTAGCAAAGGCATGGGAACATACCATTTTACTTGGTGTTTGTGTTGCAATCTGATTGTGATTTATATTTTAAAATGATGCTAAACTGTAATATATGTAGCAAATGGGAGTGCCTATACAAGCTGGTATTTTGTGTCTTGTGTTCCTGTTTGCATGATCTCTTCAAATGAGAGATTTTTACCAACCTAAAATATGGTCTTTGAAACTATACTGTTATGAGTTTGATTTATTTAATTCTACCTTTCTGAGTCTCTTGGACTGAGAAGATGTATTGAAATATACTGTTATTTGTAATGTACTGTCAAATGTCATGTTACAAGATTTGAAACAGGGTTTCTTTTTGGTTTCTGGTCACATTTGTAAATATCCTCAGACAAAGACTTACTTTTTATAACAAGCTTCGCTCTCACTCTGCTTTGCATCCCCAAAGTTCTTCTTGCTCAAAACTGGGAGAGCTAAAGAGACATTTCTCCTGGTTTTAGAAGCATCAGCTTGTCTGTTTCCTGGTCAGAAAGCATTTCCCAGAAGACCAGTGAGAGTGTTGCTTCCTGGGATCCCTCAGAATCGAAGAACACTTAAAAAGACCACCCCACACAGAAAAATGGCTAAGTGCCCATTATTTATGTTGATGGACAATTGGAGCAACTAGTGAAGAGAAGTGGTTATGAGCTCTAACTTTGGTCAGAGAGACCTCAAGGCAAGACCTTGTCTTGCCTGACAAGAACAAGAAACTGTCAGTATAAATTGTCAGAGCATAAAGAACAAGGTCCATGGATTACCGTAGACAGCGTTGACAGTGTTTGCAGAGTGTCTGGTACACAGCAGGACTCAGATGTAGTTTTCAAACATAGTGAGCATATACCATAGTGATCATATGTGCCAATGTTCGTGCTTTACCACCATTATCTAATTTAACCTCTACAACAACCTCATGAGGGAGGTTTCTGTGTTTTTACAAATAGACAAATGGAAGCACATAGAGGTTAAGGACCAGCTCCAAGATCTGATTCTGGAGTATGCTTCTTTTCCATGGTATCTATCTGCTCTTCTCTACTCCTGTCTGAGTGATTGAATTAATTCTTGAATTTATAAAAGGCAGTAGACCATGGTACAGAAATAACTCAGCCTCGGCCCATTCAGGAAAGAATCAGTGGCTGAGGGCTTGCACAGAATCCAGTTGAAATTGGTCTCGCTGCCCTAAATATTAAAATAAATACCTTCTAGGAGAAGGCTGTCATAGAAACCTTGATTGTAGATAAGATCTTGCAGACTCAGAAGCTCCTTCAGGTTTCTTTTTATGGGCTTAAAGCTAATCAGCTTTAAGCTAATTCCTCGAATGATCAATTTGCCAAATTTACCAAACATTGGGGTCTTTTTAACTATTTACAAGGTTTACAATGATGCCTTTGGATGAGGCACTTAAGAACAGTTTTCTACAACTGTTGTGAAGTTATAGTAACTGATTTTCATTTTTCTTCAAAGCCACATATTGAAGAAGGTCAATTTGTCTTTGGCCCCGGCTCACTGCTACTTCGGGGAGAGACTGAGTTGTAGAGAGGGGAGAAATAGAGGTGGGGAGACTGAGGATCGGAGAAGGAAGAATAAGGGGTAGAAAGAAGAGGAAACTAGTGGAGGTAGGGGGAGCCAGAGCCAGAGAGGATGGACTAACAGGAAGAGATGGGGGCACCAAAGGACAGAAGGGGGAGAGGGAAAAAGGGTTGTGCAGAAGGACAGGGATGGCGAGAGACTAAGGGGCAGAGAGATGGAGACATTTAGTGGGAGAAAAAGGGAGACACTGATGGGGAGACATAAGGAGAAACTGAGGAATGAGAAAGGAGATAGAAAAAGAGAAGTGGAGAATCAGGGACAGAAAGATATAGACGGAGTGGCATAATAGTCACACACAAGAAAAATCTACATTCAAGAACATATTCTTCATTAATATATTCATAAGTTAAATATATTCAAAGGGAGAATAAACCATCCTTAGCTTTTGATAAATAGAAAATTCCTTCAACTGCTTCTTTGAAGACGACATGAAAACCAGTCAACTACCACATCACATAAATCTTTAAAAGCTCATGAAGCCATTCCATCCAATAGAAATTGCTGTCAACCTTAGAAGCTGGTGACATTAGCGAAGTGTTCATTCAGAAAATCTGCGAGTCTGCAGATTGGCCATTTGATGAATTGGTCACTTGCCTGCTTGGCTTGCAGAAAATTGTTGGTGTCTCTTTTGAAGATGAGCCCTTCAGGAGGTAGATTTAATAGTCTTAACACGGGGTGGAGAAAGTGCTGGGGCTCCCCTGGCTGCAACACATTCTCAGTGCTATAAAGAAACAATTCTGTTAGGATCTAATTTGCCAACATGTCATTCCACAATTTCTTGGCCTTTCAAAGCCTAGGGGACGGACGTGGCATATAGTTCCCATTGTGGGGAGTGTGTGCTCTCAACTGAGCTGCAAGTCAAGGGATGCAAGTGGATTGACTTGAATCGTTGTGGTCTTGAGTAAGTGTCAAGGGCCTCCTTGTCATGCTGCCTCTGAGAACATTCTCTGCCTGTGGCTCCTGGTCTTACAGCATCTTAGTGCCTCAGTGTCCTGTCTCCCCCGTCCTGGGCAGCAGGGGCAGGTCTTCTGCTCCGAGCCTCCCTAATTTCCTGCTAACAAGGAGGCCACATTTGTGACTTGAGTGACCATCTATTTGGGATGCCGAGACCTCATCTCTTAATTTAACAGATATTGTTGAACACTTCTTGGGCCAGGCATTAGGAGACAATGGGGAACAACATGATATGGTTTCAACTCTATGGGGCTACTTCAGGGTTGCAAGTGACGGAAACCAGCTTGGTGAATGGCTACTGGGGTGTTTTGTGGAATCCAGTAACATTTTGGATGACCTTGCCTCGGGAAGAGCTTGAGCCAAGTCAGCCACAGGAAGCTCAGCAGTCATAATTCGAGCAAGTTCCCTCTAGGATACTGCCATTGACCAACATGAATTATTCCGGTTCCTATTTTTTATGAGCATCAGTTGAAAAGTCCAAAGCTCAGGGTGAAGAATCATCCTGTGTCCACTTCTGCGGCAGTCAACTCTGAAGGGAGGTGGGGGGCCAGGTGGCACATCTTGGAGGACCAGCAGTTCCCAGAGAAGGGAGAATCATTGTGAGCTTGGCAGAAACTCCAAAAGGTATTAATTATAAGGATCTCGAAGTCCAGCAGGGGAAACAAGGTTAAAAAGAACTAACTTCAGGGGCTGGCCCAGTGGCATAGCAGTTAAGTTTACGTGCTCCACTTCGGTGGCCCAGGGTTTGCAGGTTCGGATCCCAGGTGCAGACCTACCACCGCTCATCAAGCCATGCTGTGGCAGCATCCCACATAAAGTAGAGTAATATCGGCACAAATGTTAGCTCAGTGACAATCTTCTTCAAGCAAAAAGAGGAAGATTGGCAACAGATGTTAGCTTAGGGCCAATCTTCCTCACAAAAAAAGAGAAAAAGAACTAACGTCAACCTAGCCTCATCAAACTTTAATAGAGTGAAGCCTAGAGGTGGGTGGGTGTCAGGCATGCCTTCACATAGGGGGTAACATCCCTACTGGGTTTTTTAAAAATCAAATTTATTACATTAAATACATACAGTAAAATGCACCTATTTTAAATGTAGAGTTCGATGAGTTTTGACAAATGTGTACACCCATGTCATCCCCATCTCAATCAAGATATAGAACATTTCCATCATGCCAGAAAGTTCCTCATGCCCCTTTGCAGACCATGCCTCCCTTTATGCCTCCCCATATACCTCACTATGATTTAGTTTTGCTGATTCTAGATCTTTCCATAAGTGGAATCATATGCACTCTTTTTTCCATCAATATTTTGTCTAATATTCACTTACATTTCAACTGGATTTTGAAGATGGGGAAAGGGTTACATAAGCGGAGGAAGTGTGAGGGTATTGCCGGGATGGAGAGAGAAAAGAGCAGAGAGTGCTTAAAACACCAGAGTTGGGGCTGGCCCAGTGGCCAAGTGGTTAAGTTCACGTGCTCCACTTTGGCGGCCCAGGGTTTCACCAGTTCGGATCCTGGGCGCGGACATGGCACTGCTCACCAAGTCATGCTGAGGTGGCGTCCCACATGCCACAACTAGAAGGACCCACAAATAAAAAATACACAACTACGTGCTGGAGGGCTTTGGGAGAAAAAGGAAAAAAAACCCAAACACCGGAGTTAACTTAGTGTGATCCAAGCATGCAGTCTGAGGGAGCAGTGGCAAGAGAGAAGCCTGATAGAGTGGGAAGAGTTGACAATGTTGAATTTTACCTGAGCCCCGTGCTCTTGAAAAACAACAGTGGTTAAGAAATCCCCCCTTCACACCCCCCTTCTGTGCTTCAGAAATGGTTTACTGCAAGGAAACATCACTTCCGTGTGACTTAGATCAAACTCATGAATGCCTCCCTTGTTCACCTGAGGCAAGGCCAGACACAGTCCTAAATTCCTATTCTTTGCCTTATAAATGATTAGCTGAACGACTTGTCTCTACTGATCAATGGGAACAAAATGCCTGTTAACCAACTTTAGTTAAGCTTCTCTCAGTCCCCCAGTCTCCTTGATTTTTACCCACGGGCAGGCTGGAGCCCGCATACAACCCCTCCTGAGAACACGCTGGCTTCAAGGTAAAACATCCTCTGATTTACTGCTGTCCAATCAAGCCACCCTTTCTTCTCACTTTCCCACACACCCAGTTCTTTCTAGCCTCCTTCTCTCTTCCCTACAGAAGAAAAACTCTTTTTGCTTAACCCTCAAGACACTTGCAGATCTTTTGGTCAGAGTGGTCTCCCTATTGCAATATTCCATCCACTATTGCAATAGTACCCCCCATCCCCCCAAGAATCCTTTAGAATAAAGTATCTCCTTACTAAGTCAAACAGGCTTCAATTAGGATCCTGGCCCCAAAGCTCTTTAACTTTCAACAAGCCTCTTAACCTTTCCTAGCCTCCATTCTTTCATATATAAAATGGGGATAGTATAATGTCTACCTCGCAGGATTTTTGTGGCAATTAGAGATGTGAAACCCTGAAAACATGGTAGATAATAAATAGTAGTCATTACTCTTGTTATCATAAGTAATATTAATATCATAAGAGGTACGTCAGTCATTTTGTGAATGGCCTTATATGTCAGGTTAAGTTTATACTCACTATTGTATCTTCAACACCTCTCAATGCTTGGTACAGAGTATATGCTCAATAAATAATTTAGAATGAATAACTTTATCTCATTGACAGCAGGGAGGTATTGGAACAATGCCTGGTTTAGGAAGAGCAAGTTGGTCACTGTCGACATTCAACGACCTTTACGTATTAAAATTCTCATCTCCTGTCTGTCCATACCGGCCTTCTAGCCGTCTTGTGATAAATTTGATTCTGCAGCTCCTGGAAAATGGAAATGATGATAATTCCTGTCATCCTCTAAAAAGAAAGAACGTGGAGCACTTTCTGAAAAGCCTGACGGGCATATACACATTCCCACATCTGATCAGGGACAGACAGTCTCTATCTCGGGTCTCGCCAGGGGGCCGTGCCCAGCTCCCGATGCCCCGCCCTCCCCACGACTAGTTCCTCCCACTCTGCCTGGTGCTAGGGGCTCTTTTACCAGGCCGGCCCGAGGCTCCGTGTGCGCGTGCGCACCGTCCCTCCTCCCGCCCGGCAGGCGGGGGCGGGACCGCGTTGCGTCATCGGGGCGCGCCGCGGACGACGCTGCGGTTGCCGGAAGTTGGGCGGCGGTAAGTGAGCCGCACCGGTGAGGGAGCAGCGGGCTGCTGCGGTGTTGCTTTGGAGGGCTGGCGGGAAGGGGCGAGCTCGGCGATGCGGGCGAGGGTCACGGCGGGTCTCAGCATCCTCCCCTGGCCGTGCCTGGGCAGCCTCTCTCTAGGGAGTCGCCGACGCAGGCTCTCGCCCTCCTTCAGTCGAGTCCCTCATACCAGTTCAGTCGGGGTCTTCGGGCTGGGACGCTCCTGCTGGTTACCTGTCAGTCCCTCCTGTCCTCTCTCTGGCGGGGAGTGCCCAGCGTCCCCGCTCTTGGGACCCGGGGGAGAGGACGCCTGGGGGCTCCTCCTGGCTCTGCGTTCCTGGCTTTGCTGTGTGCCTGTGGCGCATCCCTCCCATCACCGAGCCTCTCTTCCTTCATCTGTAATATGGGGGTGATAACGCCTCATTTGGGGAGCGAGGCGGGCAAATGAAGTAAACTCCAGGGGCTTTTCTGAGCCAGGGTTCTCGATTCCTTGCTTTGGTCCAGGGTCTGCAAACGTTAATGCTTAAACAGTCAGGTTAGGTAAATGTGGGTGTAAGAAAATTTTATGTTAGTGTCAAATTGGTTTTTACTGATTTGAGTTTTATAAGCACAATACTAACATGAGATTGAAGCAATGAACCCAGAACTCCTGTGTGTGTGTGTATGCACGTGCAATCTCAATTTCTAAACACTGGTGACTAATACGATTTTTGAAAAAAACTTTTAAACTCTGTGCAACTGAAACCAGGTATTTCTGTGGCTGCCGGTTTGGGACCTCCGGGTCCCAGGCTCCCTTTCCCACTGAAGACTTGGATTTCATCTCTGACACCCCTGCCCGCTCGTTAAATTTCTAAAGTGACAGCAAGCTCACTACTTTGGGTCTTACTCCTGCTTGGTCTGCCCCCAGCTCTGACCCTTAAAAAGTCGTTTCTTGAGCTGAAAGCTGTTCCCCAGTAATCTCAGCTGGTGGTCCCTCTCTCAGGCTCTTGGGCACCCCTTCCACTGAATTGCTAGTTTGTCTTCCTCTTTCCACCTTTTGTTTTCCAGGCTAAGCTCATTTAGTTTGTTTACCCACCCTAACTCCACAGGCCTGAGAATCTTGTCTTATTTGTAGTTATATCCCCAGCGTGTAGAACAGTGCCTAGCATATTATATAGGCTCAATAAATATTTATTGAATGAGTGAATGAAACAAATATTTGAGGGTCTGTTATGTGCCAGGCATTATTGTAAGCACTGGGGATTTGGGAGTAAAGTAAGACCAAAAAGAACCTTGTTTCACGGAGCCTGCTTTTTGATGGTAGTGGTGGCAGCAACTGTTGCAGTGATTGTCAATAAATATGATACTTTTAATGGCTGGTAGATGTTGCAGATCCTGATAGATGCTACAAAAAGAGCAACAGCATTAGGATCGAGAGTAACTGGGGGGAAGCAGAGGGAGCTGTTTTTAAAGCCAGCTGATCAGGGGTGACTTCTCTGAGGAGGTGCCATTTGACCTAACACCCGAATGAAGAAAAAGCTACACTTGTGAAGGCTCGTCCTGCCCAGTGGTTCCTCCATCTCCCAACTCTGTGCTCTAGTCTTGTTAAACAGCTCACAGGTAGTGTCTCACGTTTGCTTCTGCTGCTTCAGCTGCCTAGGACGTCTCCACTTCCCCATCCGTTTTTCTTGGCCAACTCCTCCCTGCCCCTCATGTGACGTGATTTCGAAACCCTTTAAGGAGCTGAGTACAGGGCTCGAATTCAACCACAAGATCCTCTTTCTGTTCACAGCCAGCTTCTCATAATAGAGAATAAGCATAAATATTTATTGAGCTTCTGCTGTGTGCCTGACATTGCTCTGCAAGCTGGAAATACAAAAATGAGTAAGATACACATCCCTGTCCTCAAGGAGTTTACTGTTTTTTTAAGTCAAGACATAGACAACAGCACTGTGGTCTGAAGCTATTGTAGAGGTTTGCCAGAGGAGGCCTTAGGATGCTCGTAAGTCAGGCTGAGGCATCAGGGAAGGCTTCTGGCAGGAGATGGTGCTTTCTCCAAGTCCTAAGGGAGGAGCCGGCTCAATCAGGTGAAGAGGGATGGGAGGTGAGGTGATATTGCAGACGTTGGGTTGGGATTGGTGCAAGCAAAGGGCTGTCGGTGAGAATGCATGCCCTGTGAGTCGTTTACCCGAGTTGGAGTGGAGTGCAGGATAAGAGTGACAGGAAAGGAAAGGAGCAGGTCACAAAGGGCCTTGCAGGCAACAGCATGTCAAGAACACAGACTTTGGAATCTAAGATACCTGTGTGCCAATACTGGTTTTTCCACTGGACTAGTTTTGTGACCTTGGGCAAGTCACTTCTTTCTGAACTCCTGTTTACTCATCTATAAAAAGGGGAAATATAGTCTACCTTCCAAGGTTGCTGTGAAATGAATGGGATGGTATATATTACTCACTTGGCACTGGTAGATGGTAAACAGTAAACTATAGCAGTTAATATTGCCGTGCTAAGAAATTGGGTTTTATTTTGAAAGCGTAGGGGTGGAGAGTGGACACTGAAGAATTTTGAACAGGGGTATGACATGTTCTCGTCTGTTTTAAATTACCCAGGCAGCAATGTGGTAATTACGCTGAATAGGGCAGGACCAGTAGGGAGACCAGCCAGGGCACTGTCTCAGTGGTCCAATTGTCTTGGGAGGGAGGCCTGACCCGAGGCAGTGGCTGTAGGGATGGAGAGGGGTGGATGGATTTGAAAGATAAAGGAAGAGGGCTTTGCTGGACTGGTAACTGATTGGATGGCAAGGAGAGGAGGGAGCTAGGAATCAGGATATTGGGGGCCGGGGAGGAATGAATCCTCCACATGGAAATAAGTGATAATAAAGTTCTTTGATTAGTGGTCCCTGATTGGTTATCCCTGACTACCTCTGAGATTTTATTTGGAAGTCCAATGTACTGAAGTTCACTAATGGCTTCCTCCTCTCCTCTCTCTGTCTCCTGATCCCCCCACCTCTCTCCAGTGTAAGGAAGGCCCAATTGTGTATTCAAGGGAGATTAAATAGATGCTGCTTTGTTAGTGGGTAGACAGTATGCATCTCCATGGCCTTGGAAGACTGCTTGACAACCGGTTCATTCAGCCTCAGTCCAGCCCCAGAACGATCACCTGTGTTTGGGATTTCCTCACACGTTCTTCGCTCTGGTTACCCTCCTTTGAATCTGTTTCTGTTTGACAGTCTCTTGGCGTATGTGCTGTAGAAAGGAGGTCCTCTTTGCTCCAGGAGTCTGACACTGCAGAGCAGAACTGTCCTTTGCTTGCGGTACCTAAGGCCCTGCCCGGCTCTGTTGGAGACACATGTTGCTCTTGACACCGTCTGGAGAGCTGGCTGGCTCTCTGTGTGGGCAGCTGCTTGGGCAGCTCCCTTGGCCATCCTCTCCTCGGCCTCCTCCCTTGCTTTTGACTTCACCACGCTGCAGTCTTCTGTTAAGACTCCTCTGCTTTCTCTTCTCTGGTTTACAGATTTATCTCCTGCTGACCCCATCACTTTGCCTTCTATCCTAATTTATGAAAGAACTGGTGTTTGTCTTAAGGCTAATTGCTTTATTGTGCTGAGATTCCATCTCCACCTTTTCCTCAGGACTTGATCCCATTGTTTGTTTGGTTTCTTTCCTATTTAATCAACCCTTCTCATTTAAATATCTTCCGCTTACTTCCATCTTGGAAAAAAGCAAAAACCCTCGCATTAACCTCTGCTGTACCCCACCCATCATGCAGCCTCTTCCCAGCTGCATTTCTTGGACGAGTTGCCATGTCTACTTCCTGAAGCTGTCGTCTGTCTGCTGGAATCCTGTTTCTGCCTCCTCACCCCTCTTCTCAAACTGCTTTCCCCAAAGTCATCAGAACTCCATGTGCCAGAACTCCTGAACACTTTTACTTTCTTATCTTTTGAATTCTCAGCACATCTGATATTGCTGATCTTCCTTCCCTTATGAAAACCACTCCTGCTTTGTATTATCTTTGGCCATTTCCTCCTCAGTTCTCATTGTGGGCTCTCTTCCTCCTTTTGTCTTTTAAATGCTAGTTTTCTCTGAGGCTCTCCTTTCTACTCTTGTGTTGTTCTCACTCACAGCGTCAACTCTCGTTTATGTCCGGGGACCCCTGCTCTGTACCTTGGATCCAGATCCCTCTTGAGTGCCAACCCTCAAACTCAGTGACCCAAAACTGAGCTATCATCTTCCCTCCAAACCTGCAATTCTTTCTCCACTCTTTGATCTCTCTCATTCCCCTTTTGCCGTTTGGTTATTCCCATCAGAACCCTGAGAGTCACCTTGGACCTTTCTCTCTCATACCACCCCTCCCTTTCTCCTTCCCAGCCCAGGCAGTCATCGGATTTATTCTATGTCCTTGCCCTTGATATTGCCTGATACACTTTCTCCTCCATTTCCTCTCCTGCTGCCTTACTTCAGGCCCTTCTCGCTTCCTGCTTATATTCTTGTGCAGCTTCCAGCTGGCTGCCCCACCTCAGCCTTCTGGCCCTCACTGGTGCTGGAGTGCCCTTTCTAAAATACCGATCTTTGCTAACTATGAATCTGTAGATCATAGAAGGCCTTTTATGATTTGGCTTTTGCCTACTTTTCCAGCATGGTTTCCAGCCTCTCTACCGCATATGAGAGTACTCCTAGCCATACAAGAACTGTTTGTATTTTCTCAAACATACCATGCTGTTTCCTTTGTTCATCAATTCACCCATCAGCGAGTATTTATTGGGCGCTTCTGAGGTGCTGGGTCTGAGTCAAATGCTGGGGAATGGAGGAAAATGGAAAACAGATGTGATCTCTTTCTCATGGAGCTTTTATTCTTGTAGGGAAGACTGACGTTCATGAGTATATGTGAAATAACAGCACGCGTGCTATGAAGGGGAGGGACGTGGCGCTCTTTGGGGGTGTGTTACAGAATTGACCTAAGCAGGAGGTGGGGGAGTCAGAGAAGCCTTCCCCCAGAAGTGATGCTCAATGCTGAGATTCGAAGGGAGAAAAGGAGTTAAGTAGATGGTGGGCGTATGGGTGGATAAAAACGTTCCAAGCTTGTGCAGAGGCCGTGGGATGGTTCTGTAATTGGAGCTGAGACAGCTTCCTCACTTTGCCTGGAGTGTCCCCGCTCCCCACCTGCTTGGGGTGGTGCTGCCAACCACTCCCCTCTCCCAACCATCATGGGGGCATTTGGAAGTGTGTGGAACCATTTTACATTGTGACAAGGACCAGAGGGCTTTACTGCACTTATTAAGAGGGTCCTGGGAATGTTAAACATCCTGCAATGTGCAGGGATAGTTCCAAATGAAAAAGAATTGTCCCACCCAACATGCTAATAGCGTTCCTGTTGAGAATCTACTAGCAGTTTTTTTTTAAAACCTTGGCTCAAAGGTTGGGGCCAGCTCGTGGCCTAGTGACCTAGTGGTTAAGTTTGGTGTGCTCTGCTTCGGCGGCCCAGGTTCAGTTCCTGGGCATGGACCTACACCACTCGTTGGTAGACATGCTGTGGCAGCAACCCACATACAAATTAGAGGAAGACTGGCACAGATGTTAGCTCAGGGCAAATCTTCCTCAGGAAACAAACAAACAAAAATAACTTAAAAAAACCCTTCTATTTAAAAAATAAAGCCTTGGCTTAAGGATTTCTGTGGGAAACATCACTCCCTCTTCATTCTAATTTATATGTCCCTCCTTGCTCCTCCCATAATACCCTATACAAACACTTATGACACTGAACTGTACTGGTTTTACCCACAAATTGCTATACAGTCAGTCCTGATCTGTCTTACCCTCAAAACTGATAGCTCCTTAAAGACAGGGACCATAGCTATTTGCCAGTGACTCCTGAAATATAGCACAGGGACTAGTGCATAATGTAAATGTTTATTGAAGGAATAACGAAATGGAAACCCCCGTGTCTTTGTTACACGTTTTGTTGATAATACTAGTTCTACTTTTAAGTGCCTCCTCTTTGCCAGATTCGTCATTTTCTAACTGAATCCTCTCAATAATTCTGCAATGTAGGTGGCGTCCCATCTTACAGATGAGGAAGCAGGCTCTGAGGAGTTAAATGACTTGCCCAAGGTTGTGTGGCTAGAAGTAGCAAAGGTGGGATTTGTACTGGGTTCTCTCTGGCTCATGAAGCTGTCCCCTTCTGTCTGTCATCCTGCCTTCAGTGTATCAGACTGCATTGTTGTCCAGTTGGTTTTTGGGCCTGAGATTTAAGATTTTTTATTTACCTCTGTGAAATTTTTAATCTTGTTAAAATAGGCCTGTCATTTCAGGCAGTCAGAATCTTTTTTATTCTGAATTTTTTTGTTTGTTTGTTTTGTTTTACTCATTTTATTTTATTTTTTTACTTTTTATTAAGATTATGGTAGTCTACAACCTTGTGAAATTTCAGTTGTACATTATTGTCAGTCATGTTGTAGGTGCACCCCTTTACCCTTTGTGCCCACCCTCCTACTCCCCCTTTCCTCTGATAACCATCAATCAGTTCTCTTTGTCTACATGTTTAACTTCCACCTATGAGTGGAGTCATACAGAGTTCATTTTTCTCTATTTGGCTTATTTCACTTAACATAATACCCTCAAGGTCCATCCATGTTGTTGTGAATGGGACAATTTTATCCTTTTGTGTGGCTGAGTAGTATTCCATTGTGTGTGTGTGTGTGTGTGTGTGTGTGTGTGTGTGTGTGTGTGTATACCATATCTTCTTTATCCAATCATCAGTTGATGGGCACAGTTGCTTCCATGTCTTCACTATTGTAAATAATGCTGCAATGAACATAGGGGTGCATGGGACTTTTGGAATTGCTGATTTCTAGTTCTTTGGATAGATACCCCCTAGTGGGATAGCTGGGTCATATGGTATTTCTAATTTTAATTTTTTCAGAAATCTCCATACTGTTTTCCATAGTGGCTGCACCAGTTTGCATTCCCACCAACAGTGTATGAGGGTTCCTTTTTCTCCACAACCTCTCCAACATTTGTTACTTTTTGTTTTGTTTATTTTTGCCATTCTAACAGGTGTAAGGTGATATCTTAGTGTAGTTGTGATTTGC